GGGCCTGGAATAGGAAGGGCGGCTCAATTTAGGTTTGAGGGTGTGGGGTTTAGGGCTTAGGGTTTGGGGTTTAGGGTTTAGGGTTTGTGGTTTAGGGTTTCGGGTCCAGCTTAGGGTTTAGGGTCGAGTTTAGGTTTTAGGGTCCAGCTTAGGGTTTAGGGTCCTGTTTAGGGTTTGGGTTTGGGGTCTGGTTTAGGGTTTCGGGTCCAGCTTCGGGTTTAGGGATTAGGTTAAGGCTGAGGGTTTAGTAGGGATTGAGGGGATTAAGGTCTAGGGTTTAGGGTTTGTTTAAGGTTTAGAGTTTGTGTGTGGCGGATGGTAGCTTTGGCCGGTGCATTGGGATTCTTTAGGGTGCTTTAGGGTCTGGGGTTTCTAAGTTTCCGTTTCCTGTCAATCTGGGTAGTTCTCTTTATTATGGGTAGTTCTCTATATTGGGGTCCCTTTTTCAGGAACCCAAAAGAAGACAGTGCCTTGATAAACAGGATAACAGCGAAACCCTACAGGTGAGATCACACCGCGGCTCCTCTGGGCATAGGGCTCTGGGATCAATCCAGTTTAGGGCTTTAAGGCTTCAGGGCTTGTGGGCTGTAGGATAAGTTTGGGTTTAGCCTTGAGCTTCGGGATTTCAGGTTGAAGGTCGGGTCAAGGCTGAGGCTTTGCGGTTCAGCTTGGGGTTGTTGCTTGCTGTCGGGATCCCGAAGCCCTGAAACCCTAAAGCCTGGACTCTTTAGAGGAGAAAAGGAAAGGGGTGCTTAAAGGAACCCTCAGGAAAGTCTCGAGGCGCCTCGAAGGTATCGGCCTCCTCCACCACGGTTCCCACCTTTGGGGCTTTCGGGGTTTTCGGACTTAGGGCATAGGGATGTCGAGGGTTGGGGATTTGGAGTTAGGCTCTGAGCCCGCATGTGGCAGGGTTTCGGGTCTGAGCCTTCCGGGGTCAGGACTTAGGGTTTAGGGTTTAGGGGTTTAGGGTTTCGGGTTTGGGCGTTTAGGCTTTAGGCTTCCGGGTTCAGGAGGGTGCACGGTTTAGGTTCGGTTACACAGAAGGCGCTTGGGCTGCCTAAGTGTTCAGCACTGTAGGGTTTAAAGGTTTAGGGTTCAAGAATGCAGAGTTTGGGGTTTAGGTTTTGGGCTTAAGGGGTTTAAGGCTTAAGGCTTTAGGGGTCTAAGATTTGGGGTTAGGGGTCTAGCGATGTGGAGTTTATTTGGTTTTTCAGTCTTAAAGGGCCCAGGTCGGTTAAGGGTCGAGTGCTGTAGGGGTTAAGGGTGACGGAGAGTTTCATAGGATCCGGGGTGTAGGGGACTATATTTCTAAATAGGCCTTATTAGTCCTTATTATGGGCCTTAAGGCCCCCTACCCCCCCCCCTACACCCCTAAGGATCCCTATGAGAGTTCGCATGGAGACGAGTCCTCGAAGAAGGAGCCGGGCTTCGGGTTCAGCTTCTCGGGCTTTGGGCCAGAATCCTTAGGGTTTAGGGTTTAGGGTTTAGGGTTCAGGGTTTAGGGTTGAATCCTCAAACCAAAGCCGGAAAGCTAAGCCCTAAAGTCGGAGCCGTGACCTGAATTTAAGCCCCAAGTTCTGAACTGAACCTTTGACGATAATCCAGCAAGAGCTTAAAGATCAAGGCCCCAAACATGAATTTTGAGAAAACCCTCGTAACTCCCTCATGAAACCCTTATCGAATCCTATAAACACTTGTAGAAACATGAAAACCATCTTTATGGGAGGTGTGTATATAATATATATATATATATGACAAGCCCTAACAAAAGCTATTAAGCCCCATCAGCAGAGGTATATTTGATTAACCTTCAGATCTCTGTACTCTCCCGATATAGAGCACCTCGAAGAGGGGCTCGTTGGTGCGTCCTGGCTGCGTTTGCTGTAGGTGTTGTTCGTGAATAGGTCTTCGGAGAGGGTTGTGGGATTTGTGGTTCAGGGATGCAAGCCTTGGGTCTTCAGGACTATAGGATTCAGGGATTTAGGGGCCACCGTTAGGGCTTTAAGGCTGAGGCTGGGGGAGGTTTGGGGTTGCAGGGTTTCAGGTTGAGGGTTCAGGTTTTGAGGCTTCTGGGTTAGGATAGTAAGGCTTCTACCGGGTACTAAGCAGTTTCAGGGTGTTCCGGGTTTAGGGCTTTTAAAGAAAGAAGCTTCCGGTTCCTGGTTTGGGGCTTCAGGACCCTGGGCTTCCAGGATTTCTCTGCGAGCTCTCGGAGGGAAGGGCCCTGGGTTTCGAGCGCTTTACGTTTTGGAGCTTCCATGAGCCTGTTCAATGTAGGGGCCTGAATTAGTAGCGCAGGGTTTTGGGGCCCATTATACTACGTTTGTACTAAGGAACCCCAAAACAGTATGGGTAATTATTTTAGGGCCCTATAGCAGGTGCCAATGTAATCAGGAATCAGAGCACTTCCAGTTTTCTACAAATTTTGGATTCAGGGTTTAAACAGTTGGGTTACAATGGGCTTAAACTGTTCGCGCATCGCTGTGAGGGAAAAGCCCTAGACCCTAAACTGCAAACCAAAAACTTTGAAGCAAGAACTTCAACAAGCAGGACAGCGACTGAGTTGTTGTGTTCAGGGCCGGGTTCCCGTTAACTCTTTACTTCGAGCAGAGCAGGCTCTTGCAAAAAGACTTGGGGACTAAACCCTAAACCCCGAAACATCCTAAACCCAAAAGTCTGTCGAGTCTAAATCGAGGCTCAGCAAACTCAGTAAGTGGACTTTAAGCAGGGTTTTCATTGGTCAGCCTGACTTGGAGTCCCTAAACTAAACCCTAGCTCAGCCCTGGATCCTAATCCTAATCCCCACACTGCAAACCCTACGCCCCGCCCGACACCCCAAACCCTACACCCTCAACCCTACACCCTAAACCCCTACACCCTAAACCCCTACGCCCTAAACCCGAAACACCCTAAACCCTTATCCCCAAAACCCTGGACCCCACACCCCAAAAACAACCGACTCACCAAGTCCCCTAGCCTTTCCAGACGGAAGAAGGGAAACCCAAAGTCTTGAACCCCTTCAAACCTCAAAGCGCTAAACCCTAAACTGACGACAGACGCCTGAAAAATTAGACTAGGGTTTGGGGTCTAGGGTTTAGGGTATGCTACGCTTGCATTGTGGAAAATCGAGAGATTCAGGCCCACGATAGGGCTTGGAGCAAGAACGTAGACCCTTGATTAATACATCCCCCTTCTCTGAAGGCAGCAGCCTTCTTTTAGAATCCTCATTACGGGCGTGAGTTCATTCATCAGGGATCTGAACTAGGTGGGGCTTTTAAAGCTTTTGAAAAAAATATTAGTAAATAAGATCCTCCTAAGCCCAATAATGGAAAATATAAAATGTCCCAAAGCCCTACCTAGTGAACACTGCGAAGAATTTCGGAAGTCGAGCTGCCTTGCTCGCCGACGTTCTGCGCCACGGTGAGCGCTGCCCGAAACACGCCGGCGGCGGTGGCGGACTCGGCAGAAAAGGGCTTCGAATGAGGAAGGTCATTAAGTTCTTTGACTTCGTGCTTTCTGATGGGGTTTTACAAGGTTCTGTAACAAGAGGAAAGAAGCTCATGTGAAACTTCTGTAAGGGTGGCCGTTTGAGGGCCGCAAGTTTATGGTTCGAGGTTGAGGGTTGAGAGATTTGGTTTAGGTTGGTTTAGGGTTTAGGGTTGAGAAAAGTGCAAGACCCTGATATGTCTGCGTGTTCTTGCTTGTGTTGCTGCCACTGTACTGTTGCTGTTGCTGTTGTTGCGGTCATTGTTAACGTAAGTACTCCTTGCATTAACCATCAATCTGAACGTGAAGGCGAGAACTATGCAAAGCCAGGGTCTTCTTAGTAGATCCACTGGTAAGGTGTATTGACCATTACTACTGCTCTCGCAGTGGCAAGTGAAGGTACAGCAGCAGCCGGGTGTAGCCAACTGTAGCACCAGCAGCAGCAGCAGCAGGAGCAGGAGCAGGAGCAGGAGTAGGAGTAGGAGTAGGAGTAGGAGCAGCAGCAGTCGCAGGCAGAGTAGCAGGAGCAGCAGCAGCAGCAGCAGCAGCAGTAGCAGTAGCAGTGGCGGCGCAGGTAGCAATAGCAGTTGTAGTCGCCGTCGGAGTCGTAGTACTAGTAGTAGCAGTAGTAGTAGTAGTAGTAGTAGCAGCAGCAGTAGCAGCAGTAGTAGTAGTAGTAACAACAACAACAACAACAGCAGCAACAGCAGCAGGAGCTGCAGCAGCAGTGGTACTCGTACTTGTAATTGGAGCTGTACTATGGCTTGTTGTTTGTGTTGTTGCCTAAACCCCGCCTCAAACCCAAAAATGCATCAAAGCAACAGAAGACCCTGTAAGAACCGAAAAATCACTTTTGAAATCCATTTGATAAAGCACGGCCGGAACTTTTTTCTTCTGCTTCGCAGTGCCGCGCCGCCGCGACATCTTGGAGGAGTCGGAGATTACAGCCTCTCCACGGTTTACGTCAGTGGTTTAGGGTTGACAGGAGTCAAGGTTAAGGGCTTTGGGCTTTCGATTCAACATCCTACGGTTTATTCATGTGCAATCTCTCCACACCAGAAATGAGTAGTGAAAGGTTGACGGATGAAGGCTCGGGGCTTAAGAGCAACGATAGAAATTTTTGGAGTTACGATTGAGAGTGCAGGACTTCGTTTCAAATCGTTAGAGAATTTTTGGAATACGGCTACGCCTTAAAGCCTCAGGTATTCAAGGTAAGGCTGTCAGGGCAAATCTAGGCACCGAAACAATTCGAACACGGTTTTGGTGTAGATTACAGAATTACGGCGCAGCGAGTAGCCTTACGGTTTCTGGAAAGAAGAAACACTTAATTATAGTGAACCCCAAACAAAACAGAAAAATGGATCAGGGATGATATCTGCTGGGCCTCCATTTGCTTTACCTGCAGGACACCAGGCTAGGCATGTTCCAACTTCTGGTTTTTACGCTAATCCCTAGCCCTGCGCCCTATACCGTAGACCTCAAACCGTACTCGCAGGATTCCTTTCTCCAGAGCCTCATCCCGAGAAAAGTGGTCGCAGCTCTGCTGCCCGCCTTCGCTCGGCCTCCTGCGGTCTGGTGTTGCTAGGGTTTGTTAGAACTCTTGAAGGATTTAGGGTTCGCGTTTAAGGGTTTAGCGATTCAGGCTTTAAGGGATCTTAAAAGGAAACCAAATCCGAGATCCCAAACCGTAAATCCTGAACCCACACAAATTGAGCTTGAATCCTGTGCCCCTTCTCAAATCCCAAGCCGCTTCCCAGCCCATCATCCTGATTCGCAACACGCAAGCACCCCTTTTTCAATAGCTGGAGTAAACTTTGGGTTCCTGTTCTAGGGCTTTAAGGGTTCTTATAATGGTCTTCAGGCTCTATAACAGCTTAATACAGGGACTTGAACGGTGTTGTGGGGCATGTTACACTCGAATTCGTCCATGACGACTACTTTACTTTCATTCGGATGTCGATACTTAAAAGCTGTATTAAAGAGCCTCAACAATACGAGAACTACCTAATACGATGTTTTTCAAGCCCTCATACTACTAGTAAGGCCTGGGACTCTGGATTTAGGCGTTAACACTTTGGACTGTACATGTTTGTCATATAGTTTAACTTAATCGTAACCTTGTTGAAACGAAACTATGCAAACTGCCGTGGCAACCTTTGAACAAGCCTTAAAACGACCCGAAACACTAAATGCCAATGAAGCTGGGCATCAAGCCTATGCCCGCGGTGGATAAGGCTACATGAAAACACCATGAAAGCCCTAACAAGGGGCCTGAAAATTCAACACTATGAAACTCAAGCCTCTGGTTGGTTTCTACAATCTAGCTATACTGAGCAAGGTTACGGAATGGTGTTACGAAATATTCCGGCCCCCCATATTGAGTAAGGCCTGAAGTCCGGGGTGTAGGAGCGCGGGTTTTGGTGGTAATAGTACCGGGACAACATGGCAACTGGTTAGAGCCACAAACGAAGGCCGCGACGCCTCACGCAGTTGCCTCTCTTTTCGAAGCTCCGACAGAGCCTCCCCAACACAAAAAAACGTTTCATACTTGTTTCGGGCCTGTTTAAGGTTTAAGGTTTCCAAGATTGAGGGTTTATGGCAAATAGAATTCCAGCTTCACGAGACGGGGTTAGGGAGTTGTGGGGTTTAGGGCAGCGTCTGAGCTCAGGGTCTGACATTAATCCTAAAACCCTAAAAGGCACTGGGAGTGCTAGGTAGGTAGCAGCCGTCGTAGTATAGTTGGGGCGTACTTCACTACTGTAGTGGCCTTAGTAATTGGGACAGGGTTTTGGGGTATGTTGAAGCATAACTATAATTTGTAACCCCCACAATGGTATTGGCAATAATTTGGATTTAGGCCACTGTATTCATGGCCTTCTGGGGGGAGATATTCAACTTTTCTTGTAATCGTGGATTCTAAGGGGATAGTATTGCTAACTGTTCCAGCCCCTATAGTAGAGGCTATCACCGACTTACCATGCCACCTATCCTCCAAGTAGAGCCATAAACCCAAACCTTACACAAATACCTAAAGCCACATTCCTAGTGCTGTAAACTGGTGGTGAAGGGTTAGGATTTCAGGATGTAGGGTTGGGGCGCAAGGATTTAAGGCTTGGAGCTTAAACCCTGGCTCCTCAAGCCTGAACCCTCAAAGCCTTGTTCTGGTTTCTCCCGCGGCCTCATCATCGTGGCTGCCCTTCTTTCTCTTCTTCTCTTTCCTCGATGCGCGAGCCGGCTTGGCTTGTCAGGACTCCCCCAGCGCCAAATACCGAAGGAAGGGGTATCATAATGCTATATGGGTTTAGGGTTTAGAGTTCAGGGTAGTGTTGGGTTCAGGGCTTAGGGTTGAGACACTTCAAGGTTTTCACCTCTGGGATCCTTCAAGCGATGTTTTGCGGCTTTGGATTTGGGGTGCAAGAGTCCCGAAACTTTGTGATTCCTACGAGGCCTGAGCGCCTGCAATCCCCTTAAACACTGTAGAAGCTACACCCTAACCCTAAAGCCTCGAACTCTCTGCGTCACCAGCGAAGATCCAAACTGCTTTGATCGGCTGTAACATAGACGTATGGTTAAGTTGGCGATTCCTTTTGCGTGGGGGGATGCGTGGGGGGAGAGCCTGCAGCATATCTGCTACACAGATTTAGATGGTACATGTGCGTAAATGGTGTCTGGCACTTAAAGCCCTACTATTTGAGTACTTGCGACACTTGGGGGTTGGTGGAGGCCTTCTTTTTAGGGTAGAAGGTTCAGGGTTTACCGCAAACCCTAAACCCGGAAAAACTAAGCATAACATCTCTATGTTGCCGTTTTTCAAGATGCAAGCCTGAACCAGTGGGCCCGGGTTCGCGGGTGCTTTGAATTTGTTAAGCATATTGGGGAAATTCCGTGAATATAATGAGTGACTATTGGTCTCGAGATCTGCCCCTATCAGACCTGGAAACCCACCCGAGCCGGGGCACCGCCTTTTTGTCTTCTTGTCCTTGGCCTGCCCAAAAGGATTATGAAATAAAAGGGCGCTCCGAAATCTTATACAATGACTCCAGCCTAAACTCTAAACCCTATCAGGCACCCCTCAAGACTTGACTACTGCTTCTCCAGGCCCCTATACTAGTTATCAAGGTCTCATGACAACCCTTATGACAAAGAGCGCTCAGAATAGGGAGGGTCTGCTTGGTTTGCCAGCAATCTGCAGTTTCCCAAGACGTCATAAGAGCTTCGCAAGACATGGCGGCTTCAGCAAATGGGGGACCCTTCAAAAAATCAAGAGGTACCCGAAACAACTGCATCCACGTGCTAAGGCAGCCTGAAATAAGGTATCCCTAGTTACACAAACCCTATTCCTACGTACTTATTCAGACTTCTATATATCACAGGAGCAAGACAAGGGGCTTCGCATTCATGATTTGACGTTTCGGGTTTGATGATTCTTTGCAGGTTTCAGGTTTAGGGTTTCGTGTTCAGGAGTTTAGGGGCACTCTTCCAGTCGGAGTGCGTGGCCGAGGAAATTAACTCGCTTCCGTGCTTCTGGCCTGCTTTCCTCTTGACTCACTTCTAGCGTGCTTCCCGCGGCATTCCTGCGCGACTTGCACGGGATTCGTTAAGGACAACTAATTTGAATGGTCTGCATGGGCATGTTGGGCTGCTTCACACCAAAGAGGACCGGCACACGTATTGCTGTGAAGCTGATTCGTCTGAGGCATTTTTTCCAGGGTTTCTAGAGCGCACTCTCTGCTTAGAACTTATACAGCCTTGACGGATGGATGGATGGATGGATGGATGGATGAATGGATGGATGGATGGATGGATGGATCGATGCATAGCGACCGGGGTGAGCAGCCATGGGTCAGGCGTCATCCCTGCCGCGTTCGCAGCCCCTTGCGAAGTCGTCATCGGGGCTCCGGCTGCAGTTCAGGCTCCCAGCGCGCCACAGAAAGGCTTCCAGCAAAACCGTTCTAGCACACACATCCTCACGATGACCCGCGTCCCCTTTTCGAAGAGACATTGTCTGCCCAAGTTTCATGTACAAAACCGTAAGAAACTTAACATAAATTCATTCAAAAGCACAGGAGAGCCTTGCAAGTACGCTAACCCCGAAACCCCTAGAACCCCTAGAAGCCCCTAAACCCTAAACCCTACCTTAAAAGTCTTCTGTAAAGCCGTCATTTCTCCCAAAGGGCCTCATCCAGCAGCGTTCCCCGAGCTTCCGCTGACCTCTGGCTGGCTGGGAAGGTTTTTAGGGTTTAGGGTTTTGGGTTTAGGGTCTAGGGTTTAGAAGGTCCTTGAAGGTGTCGCTGCAAAGGTTTAGGATTTAGGGGTCGTTAACTATACGGGTTACAATAAAGGCTACTATAAGGGTCACTACAAAAAAACACTGTACGGGCTACTATTGGGGTTTAGGATAAGAGCCTTCATGATTAGAATAGGTTTGTGGAGCATATTATAGTATGATTGTAATCAGGAACCCTAAGGAATGGTACGACTAATTCTGGAAGCTTCTATACTATGAGCCGCGACAAAAACAAGGGCGGCATCGTTTCTTTCGCGGTGTCGGTCGGCACGAACCACCTCAATCAGTAAGCTCGTCACCGAAGCGTCCAACCGAGGTTGCGCCTGAGACAAGCATCATAAGACGAATAATTGCTCTGTCCTTGTCGGCACTGCGCTCCTGTCAAACAACCGCCCCGACTTCAGCTCAAGGCTGGTGTCACACCATCGTTCCTTGCTGCATCCCAGAAAACATGTGTTGAACCATCATGGCCTGGCGTTTCCCACTTTTGCTTGCTCCGTCCTTGCCAGCACCCTGCCAATCAGAACACGCACCACATCAATGTGACCATTTACGCTGGCAATGAAGACAGGTGTTGCACCATCGTTCATTGCCTTGTCCTTGTCAGCACGCATTTCAACCAGCAAGCTCACCACATCAACGTGGCCATTCTGACTTGCGATGTAGACAGGTGTTGCACCACCGTCTGCTGCTGCATCCTTATTGGCGCCCTTCTCAACGAGCAAGTGCACCACATCAAGGTGACCTTTCTGACTTGCGATGAAGAGAGGTGTTTCACCGCGATTCGTGGCTTTATCCTTGTCAGCACCCTTCTCAATCAGCAAGTGCACCACATCAAGGTCACCGTTCTGACTGCTGATGAAGAGAGGTGTTTCACCATCGTTGGCTGCCTTGTCCTTGTCAGCACCCTTCTCAATCAACAAGCTTACCACATCAAGGTCACCATTTACGCTGGCAGTGAAGACAGGTGTGGCGCCATCATTGTTTGCCTTGTCCTTGTCAGCACGCATTTCAATCAGCAAGCTTACCACGTCAAGGTGGCCGTTCTGACTTGCGATGTAGACAGGAGTTGCACCACCGTCTGCTGCTGCATCCTTATTGGCGCCCTTCTCAACGAGCAAGTGCACCACGTCAAGGTGACCTTTCTGACTTGCGATGAAGAGAGGTGTTTCACCGCGATTCATGGCTTTATCCTTGTCAGCACCCTTCTCAATCAACAACCGCACGACGTCGAGGTGACCAAAATAAGCTGCGACGAAGACAGGTGTGGAACCATCGTTGAATGCCTTGTCCTTGTCAACACCTTCCTCAATCAGCAAGCTTACCACGTCAACGTGACCATTCATGCTGGCGATGAAAGCCGGCGTTGCACCACCGTTCATTGCCTTGTCCTTGTCAGCACGCATTTCAATCAGCCAGCGCATCACATCAACGTGACCATTCCGAGCTGCAGCAAAAACAGCTGTGGCACCACGTCTTTCGCAGGGCTTGTCGAGGTCTGCACGCGCAGCCACCAGCAGCTTCGCACTCTCCAACGCCCCACCTCTGGCGGCCGCATTCAACGCTGTCCTGCCACGCGAGTCCACCAAGTTTGGGTCTTGAGGACGCCGAAGCAGTGCCTCAACCGCGGCCGAGTCGTTCGCCCGACTGGCTTCTATGAGGCGCTTGACGTCACCTGCGTCAGCGTCAACGTAGTGACAAAGGGTTACCAGCAGCTCAATCGGGAGCTCCAAGGTTGCATCTTGATTCAGCACAGCGCCTTCGCAGAGGAGCTTCAGACGAAAGCGTGGCTGGCCGACTAGAGGAGACAAGATCTGCTCAATGCCTCTCATGACGTTGCCATGTTCATCGGCCAAGGCAGCAACCTCCACTTCAGTGGCTGTCACCAGCTCTCGCCCGGAAAGCTGTCGAACGCGAAGCATGGCAGCCTAAGAGACCACGGAGCCCTTCACCTAACCTCCTTCGCGATAAGGAACATTGAACTCAATGAGCCTGGTGCCTTGCAGATCCCAAGAGGCTCTGTCCTCTCTGGATCCGCTACGGTCGTAGTGTGCAGACCACTGACAAGCTGTTGACAAGTTCTTAACGCAGGTGGGCAGCTGCACGGCTTGAGCGAACGCTGAACGCATCCTTTCAAAGGGAGGGACCATCAAGATTCTAGAAAGGTTCTATAATGTGGTGAACAAGGAATCTACAGGGTTTGGGGTCGGCTTCTAAATGCTCCTCGTGGCCACGTGGGCCTGACATTAGGTAGATGAGCCCGCCGAAGCTCCAAAGCAATGGGAACGGCTGGGCTACAGTTGCAGTGGTCTCAGAACGGCAGCTGATGGCTAACATAAGCCCCAGACCCCAGACCCTAGACCCTACCCGAAACCTTAGACTCTCAAGAACCCTAAATCTTAATCTTAAGCAAAAACTCAAACTCTGCACTGACTGTTACAGTGTCCCTCTCCCCTGCCCTTCAAATGTGCAACAGCATTCGGAAACCTCAGCATCTTTGCCAAAACAACATGGGCTGAGTTCATGGTTCAGAAGATAGTCTTTCCAAAGGCTTGTGGTCAAGGGGTTACGGCTGAGTTGCGTTTGGGCTAAGGGTTGGGACTTGTAGCTTAGGGTTTTGGGTTTTCGGTCCGAGGGTGGTTGGGCTTGCGACTGAGAAACCAACATCTTAAAAAGAAAACCCTTCCCGTGTCCATCCAAAAACCATGACCTCATGCGCCAGAGTTTAGAGGTTGGGACTCAACTCTTGGGAGTTTCAAAAGGCTCCAAAGGTGGGATGAAGGTAGGTGGGATGTTGCCAAATAGGACTCCCTCATATAAGGGATCCTCGATCATACCCGAGAGTTGGGCGCTGTCTCACCCACACCCGGAGTTGGCAGAGTTCTGGGGTTCGGGACAGTGGGGTCTGGATTTAGGGTTTAGAACAGTAGGGTCTGGGCTTGGGATCTGGGCTGAGGATCTTGTTGTAGGGTTTAGGGTTTAAGTGATGCGAAAAAGACCAAAGCCCGAGCCTTAACCCCAAAACCTACACCCGAATGCCGTAACATGTCCTCATCGCGCTTCGGACAACTCTGAACAGTTGACTTTTTCGACCCCCACAATAAGAACCCTGAAGGACAGCCACAAATTCAAGGGCCTGAGGTCCTAGCTCAACTCCAGATGGATCCAAACCGTCAGCATCAAAGACCCAACGACCGCATCTCTGACGTAGAAGCAGCAATAGTTGGAATAGGGTTTTGGGTATATGGGAGTTTCCGCAAATAGGGGGACACTATTATGGTACCCTGAATACTAGGATCCTTATTATAAGTACCCCAAAATAAGGTACCCTAGTTTTCGGAAACTCCCATATAACATTGTACAAGTATCATAGAACACTTAGGAACAATGTTACTCGGTATTCAAGCTTCTATATTACTTGTGCTCAGTGGCTCAGATTGATTAATGAATCCGTCACCTGACCCGGTATATAGAAGGTTGGTCCTTCGGGCCTAAACCGTAAGCTCTGCAGTCCTAAACCATCAAGCCCGAAACTCTAAAAGCTACACCCTGCACCTTTCAGTCTAGATCCTAAACTCTTGGAACCCGAAACCCCAAACCTGGAACCCGAAATCGTGCAAAGGGGCTCACAGCCCAGCGCCAGTGCTGTAGAAGCCTTCCATAGCTGGTTTCAGGATTAAGGCAGAGGTTTTAGGGTTTAGGGCGTTTAGGGTTTAGGGTTGGCCGTGGTGACTACACTGTTTTTTTGCAATATGCTTTGGTATGGCTACATGATTTGATACTCCTATCAACGGTTCAGACTTCCACAATAGAGCCTCTCGAGGCTCCGGCTTGGGAACTTTAAACCCAAAAAAGACTCCCTCGACCCAATTCTTGAACTCCATGAACCTGAAAAACCATGTAAACCTGAAGCCAGAAGCCCCAACTCCGAGACCAAAGCCCACCCGATTCGGGTGGGCAGGGTCAGCGAACGGAAACTGAACCCGCCTCGATCCGAAACTGCCCCCTGCAGGTTCCGAAAAACAGCTCTAGTGTTTTACACCGACGAGACTCGGAAACTCACACCCTACACCTGAAACCCCCCAACCCTGAACCCTAACAACCATATAGTTGTTGTAAACCACTGCACACACGCACTGTTGTATATACCCGTCCAAGTGATAACAGCACGGCTTGTACCATTCGGTCACTACCTTTTTCCTGTTAGAGCACTTGTGCCACAATGCCGTACACACAACATGATACTTCACACGTGCACAAATTACACCCCCCTCGCCGAAGCGTCAGTCTGAGGCGCAAACATGCACGGAAGCTTGGTGCTGTGTGGCCTGCCGTAAAGGCGGCTGGATTGTGGCTCGGGGCTCATAGGCTTTCTACTACCGTAAAGCGGAAGATACGGAAGCAGGTTAATTCTTTTAGCGCGCAGTTTAAAGTCGCGACATGCATTATAAAATGGCGACGATCCAGCAAGCCTTGAATGATGGCGTGGATACAAGTCGCAAGAACATGTGCAGCATGGGACGAATACATCATCCACTGGAGCTGCTGACGACTCCCCTCGAGGTCCAAAGACCTGATGTCGGATTTGTCACAAAGTGACTGCCAGAGGATGCAAGATGAAATTTTTCTGGTCTTAAGGAAATTCGGCCACCTCTAAGAGGGGCTGTATTTCGGAGTACCGGTTAACGTGACGGAACCACGAAATGTTGATCAGGTACTTAGTACCATCCTCGGGAACCGGAGGAGCGGCCGTAGGGGTGGGATCCTCGCTGGTAGCCGCGATCCCATCCCTGCTCCTGGTAGCGCTGTTGCTCTGCTCTGCGTGCATCAGCTTTGGCTTGTGCGATGCGAGAGCGTTCAGCGTTGCGCTGTCGTTCTTCGTATGCACGGCGTGCAATTCCGACCTGTTCCACGAATTTCCCACGGAGCCACTCAGTCCAGTCCTCGGCAGAATAGCCGAGTCGTGGATCGACGTAGAGTGCCTCTTCTGAGAAAGTAACAATCATCTTCACGATTTTGTGCTGGAGGAAAACATCTACGAATTTACGCAAACTGTATGCCCCTCCCAGCCACATGATGCAAAACGGATCGTCACTTACTGCGGAGATCAGGCCTGCCCTAAGGGCGGCTGGATTGCACTCGTGCAAGTAGAGCAACCGGGCAATCTCCTGGTTCCTTGGCCCTTCGGAGCTTCCACCATAGGTGCCGACAGCCAACTGTCGTTGCTCCTTTGAACGGCCATGGTTCGGCAGGGCAGCATGCGTAAGCACGTCTTCGATGGCCAGAAACTCTCGATCGTACCCATTGCCGATGGAATTCATAGTGTAGTCCACATCGTTATCGAAGCGGTGTACGATGCTTGTGTAGCCTCCTTTCGTAGCCATCTTGAGCTGCTGCCGGGCTTTGTCCAACGCCTCTGCGTCAAGCGACGTAGTTCCCCGCTGGGTTGAGGAGTCTCTGGTCATTTCATGAATGACCTCCTCTGGCGTCAGCTGGGAACGTGGCTTGCCCGCAGCGGCAGCGGCGGCCTCTTCAGCGAACCAACGAGCTGAACGCGCTTTCTTGCGTGCGTTCTGTTGGGAAGGCTTCACGATGTGCACGCCACAGCTCAAGCATATCATCTGTCCCACAAGGTGTTGAGTACCGCAGTGGGGACATGCCCTGTGACGGCCACCCGTAACGGGGGCTGGAGGGAGAGCCAAAGGAGTCGATTCCGGCTGAGGCGGTGCCTGCTCGAACATCGGCTCGATCTTGACTTCTTCCTCCTTTTTCACATCGCCTTCGTCTGGCTCGATCTCGATCTCGACTTCAACGGGATCTTCCGGCTCAAGGAAACGAACACGCTTTCTGGACTCAGTCGGTGCCTCCGGTGGAGAAGCGCCCCCCTGGTCCAATGTTGTGGTTTCCTCCGGAAGGAAGTCGGATGCTGTGGCGTCGTTGAGTGCAAGAGGTTCTGGTGATGATGCTGGTGGCGCAACCTCAAACTCAACTTCAACCATAGGCTCGTCTGCTGTTGCAGACGCTGCTGATTCGACCTCTTCATGGCCACCACTAAGTGGGGCTGAAGGTTCCTCCGGAATATCGGGGAACTGCTCCTGCTCAGCTGCTCCAGGATCGACAATGGGATCCTGGGCAGTCTCCGGAAGGATTGTGTCTTCCTCTTCGCTGGACTGCCGAGACCACAAAATGATGCCTTTGATCGTGTCTCTGATGTAGAGCACGCAACTCCCTGGCACCGGGTCGCGAGTGAGTACACCTTCGGAAGTTGTCTCAAACAGATAGGCATAGCGGTTCACCTCCTGAGTGTCGAGAACAACTTCATAAGGAAGGTTTGCTCGGCTGCCAGCTTTATTCTCAAGCTCGCTCAGAGTGGCCTTCGCGAAGTAGTTGTGAAACTTCCCGCTCCGGTTGAACCCCGGCGTGAAGCCAGTAGAGAGAATATTGAAAGCTGAATCATGCGTGGTTCGATGATAGAGGCGTGGGGGAAACTCCCCAAGAGCAAGGAATGGCCTGCCTTGATAGGCGGCTGTAGGACCAAGCTCCTCACGCGTATCGTTCGTGAACCAATGCAGAGCAATCGAGGAATCAGTCACTTGATCTTTGATGCGTTCGCTGTGACCATGCGACGCACAAATCCACGACGGCCAAATATCGTAGGCGACTATGGACAAGATACCCCGTGTTCCCAGATCCACACGGTGCTTCTTCCACATGTGCTGAATGAGGTCTTGGATGCGTACCCATTTCCCGCGCCGTGAGCTGAGCTTCACGTTCGATCCTCGGACAGCACCTGTGAGGTAGCGCTCAACATAGGGTTTGAGGCCTAACTCAGGGAGGTGGTCCTTCGGGATCGAATCGGGGAGGATCTGAACGATCTCGCTCCCCTCCGGATCCTCTGGGCACACATCCTCGTCGATGAAGCCACACATTTCCATCAGGTCCAAGTCATCTTGGTATTTTACCCCGATGTAGTCGTGTGGGCGAGCCCTTAAAAGGCCGCTGGAAGGGTCCCGGTCTTTCTTGGTCATGCCCTCTTTCGCCGCTGACAGAGTGCGGTGAGACTCTGTGCGATAAGGGATGGCCTCGATGACGTCGTCAAAGGACACCTCCGGTACATCGCGAGATGATGCACTGCCAGATGGGCCGCCACTAAGTGGGGCTGGATCCTTCCGCTCAGCACGGGCACGTGCTTCCGCCTGCTCTTTCGCGCGCTTTTGTGCCTGCTCGCGAGCTGTGGCCCATTCCCAATTCAGGACATCCTGAGGTACCTCACGCATTCCAGTGACCGGAAGATCAGGTGGAGGAACATAAGGGGATTCCCATGGATCAGGGCATTCGTTCGCAGCTTCGCGAATCTCGGCCTGCCTTAAAAGGCGGCGGGAGAGCTGGGACCGATACAGCGCCTTGTCGAAGACATACTGCATGGAATATACCCGCGTTCCTTCTGGGTCGAAAGGGAAACGGCGGGCCAGCTCATCCAGCGTCTCTGCGGGCATCTTTGCGAATAAGTGGTCAGCTTGACACACTTTAATCCGCTGTCCGATCACAGAGGCCAAGGCTGCGCGATGCGTAGAGTCTTCGCGGAAGTGGTAGTGGTCGTGCTTTGGGATCTGGCATACGCTTTCTTTGAGAGAGGCGGTATACAACCCCCTGCTCCTTGCGTATCCGAGGAATTTTCGGATAGCTGTTCTGTATTCCGCTGGCAGCCCGTAGTCCAGTGGGTCGGCATCCGAGAGGATTTGTATCGAACCCACTGTTGGCCTGCCCTGAAGGGCGGCTAGACGGCCAATTTCGCCACACACACGTGCGGCAATGTCCGCCCAGATCCCTTCCGCGGCAACGCCTTCAGGACCAATCTGCCAGTGTGGCGTCCCTGGGTCGACGAAAACACCTCTGCGACCGCACAGTTCGTTGCCCATCCACACAACAACGATATCGACCTCGAGATGCAAGGGGTTTAACGATTCGTTGATGATCTGCGGCAAGAGCGTGTGAACTGCCTCAACGATCGAGTGGAGGTTGCCTCCCCAAATCGCCTTTTGCCGGACATTCGTGTATTGCTGAAGGATATGACCAGGCCCCGTCAGAGCTTTAAAGTCTTCCGCCATCTCAACGAATGTTCTCGCCCCAGCCTTGAAAATGAGGGTAGAGTCGGAAACAATGATGCAGGCTTTTTCACGGCCACGGCTATCGCCGGGCTGGAAACGCGACAACCCCTCGTCGTTGATCCGTGCCACCTTAGGGAGGGCCTTATAGCCATGATCAACATCTCCCAGACACGTAGACAAAGCGGTTTGCGCGATTGCGCCTGTGTAGAGCTGTTTCACGCTCTCTTCCCAGTCACGGTCTGGGTTGAGTCCGAGCTCGTGTCCGAAGACACCGGCCCACATATGGTAGTGAGCCCACTCCCGCTTGATTGAGTCACCCGATGCGGCAATCGTCGCTGGCGCCGACGGCTTGTTCTCGCCTTCTGCTCGCACTCGGGGATCACTAATCATCTCTGGCGTGCTCTGATGAGCCGCTGCACAGGGGCAGGCAAGCACCTTCCTAAAGTTCGCAAGATTAGCAAGATGTGAAGATGTGAAATCCTCTAAATCATCATGATCTGCGACTTCGTGCTTGTAAGATGCCTTAGCGATCAGATGCTGGTTTCCT